CTCAGTGACAACGTGTCTCGGACGCTGAATTCAGGCCCACTTCAAAACATGATTCAGCAACTTTTGATTTGAAATCGAGATCCTAGAATGCTGTTTTTCTCGAAATTTGAAGCTGATCTGAAACTTCATCAGGTTAGTTGTTCAGCACACTTTTATAGATTTTGAGCACTTCTGTTGCTTCAAACGAACAAAATGCACAAATTACAAATGATGGACTGTACCTTTAAGTTATTACTCCAGCGCTATCATCAAGGTGCATGCATTTGCACAAAGGAAGGTAATAAGGCACACGCCTCAGCACTTATTGCATAAAGCCGTGTTCTAAATATTCAGGCAGTAATGAAACGAGGTACCGGTACAAGGGCGAGTGTTAAAGAAATTCAGACAATGGTTGAAGCAATCTCACAAAGACCTCGCACTGCATGGGCTCCACTTCACCTTCCCGGCCAAGTTGGTGAGAAAAAAAAATCAATTTTGTGTAGATGAAGAGAGGCATATTGTAATTGTGATTGGCATAGTTACGTCACGTGTGCCCGAGTGGAAACGATTGCGTAGTGCTTCTTAAGGGTTTTGAAACACTTGCCAATGATGTTGTCAGTGGCAACTGGGGGAAATCAATTTCGTGTAGACGGAGAGAGAAGATGCAATGGGATTGGCACAGTTATACCGGATGCAATGATTTTGGCATACTGAAAGGATCGAAGGACATGCAGAATGTTGTCAGAGTGTGCCGTATCTTCATGGTTTAAACACTCCTGCAAGAAAGCAAGCTTGCTGAAGACCACCGCATAAATCGCTATCTTTGAGACTGGAAACACTTTGTCTTTTGATTTTGTGAGACAATTCTAAACAGGTAAACCGTCACTCGCAATACTGTGGAAGATCCTGAGCATAGCAGAATTTTTAAAACACGATCTGAGTCTTTTATAGTGGGCTTGTACCCTTCGCCGACGTATTTTATAATCATTGTATGTACTCAGTGTCGTCTGAGGGATTGCGAGTAAAAAAAAGTCATAACACTGCACAAACTTACATAGACGGGCTCGAACCTACAATCTCCTGCTTATACATGTACTAGTGCAGACGTCTTTACCACGCGACCGCCGAGTTTTCAAAAACATTCTCAGTCACTGCATTTCAGATGCTGCTCGCTTTCCACTGATGGTGCGAGTTTGTATGCCCTCTCTTACTAGTCACTCGACTCTCTCCTCCAGAAGATTTTCTGCCTGAATCGATCAAGTTTGTCACCCTCGTCATCTCCAAGATGTTGATCATCCAAGGTTTGGCGGTTTTCCTCCTTGTGGGTCCAGTAATCGTTGTCTCACAGTCCTGTGGCTCGAATACCGACGACTGCCCAGCCTCTTGGATGACTTGGAATGGTAACTGCTATCATTTCACTTCTGCCGTGTACACCTGGGACAGTGGACATACACACTGCGGGGCCATTGGTGGCGCGATGGCTGTTCCCCAGTCACAGGCGGAGATTCAGTTTATGGGGAGCCAAAACATTGAACATCTGTGGATCGCCTGTAAGGATTTGGACCGTGATACCCAACTAGAGTGCGACAATCATGCAGAGGGAGGCGCTTTCGTTAACGGCTTGGGTAAACAAGATGGAGGAGGATATTGCATCACTCTCTACATGAACATGAATATGTTATATGAATGGCACTACCACCCTTGCACCGAAGAGTATATCGTTGTTTGTGTTCGGCCTCCTCTACCGCTGTGTTTACAAACCACAACTGCTCCACTAACAACCACACCTGCTCTGCCGACAACCACACCTGCTCTACCAACAACCACACCTGCTCTGCCGACAACCACACCTGCTCTGCCGACAACCACACCTGCTCTGCCGACAACCACACCTGATCCACCAACAACCACACCTACTCTACCAACAACCACACCTGCTCTGCCGACAACCACACCTGCTCCACCAACAACCACACCTGCTCTGCTGACAACCACACCTGCTCTGCCCACAACCACACCTGCTCTGCCGACAACCACACCTGCTCTGCCGACAACCACACCTGCTCTGCCAACAACCACACCTGATCCACCAACAACCACACCTGATCCACCAACAACCACACCTGCTCTGCCAACAACCACACCTGCTCTGCCGACAACCACACCTGATCCACCAACAACCACACCTGCTCCCCCAACAACCACACCTGCTCTGCCGACAACCACACCTGCTCCCCCAACAACCACACCTGCTCTGCCAACAACCACACCTGATCCACCAACAACCACACCTGCTCCCCCAACAACCACACCTGCTCTGCCAACAACCACACCTACTCTACCAACAACCACACCTGCTCTACCAACAACCACACCTGCTCTGCCGACAACCACACCTACCAACAACCACACCTGCTCTACCAACGGCCACACCTACTCTACCAACATGGGCCCCAACACTCTCAACCGGTGCCTCATCGGTCACATCATCAGAGAGTTCCCCATCAAGACAACACCCAGATGTGCTGCAGCCTGTAACAAGATGCCTACATGTCGCTCCTTCAACATCAAGACTACCGATCAAGGAAACAAACTGTGTCAGCTCAATGACGCTACCTATCTGGATGACCCAGCTAATTTTCAACCGACTGAAGCAGATTGCACCTACTACTCTCAAATCATCAATTAGTCGCATGTGTTGGCAAATCAGAATGCTTTTCGACTTTAATACAAAACTGAACTTAAAGATTGAACAACCCTAACGGACAAAATAGTGGCGGCTATTGGACAGTTCAACAAACAGCAGACATGGCTGAAAATGATCAGTTTGTCAAAGGTAGAGTAGAACATTTTTTCATTTGCAAATTTTTTTTTTTTTTTTTTAAGCAACAGAAGTGCTCAAAATCTAAAGACAGGTACATAACGAATATCCTGATGAACTTTTAGCTCTGTGAATGCTGTATATTCCAAGAAAACAATATTTTTATGATCTCAATTTCAATTCAAAAGTTGCTGAGTCATGTTCAGCCGATTGCATGTCACGCACTGAACCGAGAAATAATAGCAACAGCACGCAAGTGAGCGTCATGTCAACGGACTCGCCCAATTTCACGGATTCACCCAATTGCAAATTAAAACAAATCTCCGCACTTGACAGTTTGTCCAGAACGAGGGAGACCGCTAATTCCAGCGAACGCAGAGCATAAGGCGACACTGCTTGGCATTTCGCGATGTTTTTATTTTGGCAACGATTTTCATTTCATTATACAGCAAACGTTAAATACAAAGTAAAAGCACAAACGGGATATTTATTTTGACGATAATCTGACACATTTTCAATATTTTTGATATCATTCCTCAATATCGAAAATTTTGATATTTCAATATGATTTACAAATTGCTATCGGTGATATCGATTTCAAAATAACATTGAATAATCGAGTAATATCGATATATCGACGGTGCTTAGTATACAGGGTTTACATCACCCCGATGCAAATTCCATCTAGATTAAATGTGGCACTTTAGACCAGAAAGCCGTGATATTCAGGCAAATTACAGCAATTTCAGATGATTTACTGCTTATCTACTGAGAAAAAAAAGGAGTTTTGGGGCATATTTATTTCGAATTTTAAGAATAGTATTACTGTATGGTACATGTGCATATGTAATTATGTATAAAATAGTAATTTGACTTTTGTAATTGTAAAGTTAACAGTTAGATGTAAATAATTTGAAAAAAGTTTGTGTACAGGGTGAGTCAGAACGATCTGGACCCAAATTTTAGGAAATATTAAAATATATCTAGCAATACCAGCCTTTATGTTAAAGGCTGGTATTTTGGACATATTTAGTGAAAGTTTCATGTATGTTTGTACCATTTTGAAGAAAAGCGCTAGCAAAGAATATAAAAAAATAATGCAGTCCCACAGTACGGGATTTCAATAAATCATTATATTCTAGTAATCAGCAAAAAAAATAACAATAACAATGAAAAATAATATATTTAATTTATTATTAAAAAAAAGTTTAATAAGTTTAACGTTAATCAATTTGTGTCTGTTTTATAGGTATAAAACACTCTGTTTAAGACCAGAACCGGTCTTAAACAGAGTGTTTAATACTGACCGAACACACATTTATTCCCATTCATAAATACCTTTTCGGTCAAAAAATCAAAACAAGTCAAAAACTAGACATTGCTAACTTTTTTGCTTAACAATTTTACGTCATGTTGTATCAAACACCCCTCTGACTATAATATGGAATATCCCTCTACAATTCCTTACCTTATAAGGAGATTGACGCGTACTGCACGACGTCACGCAGAATGCACCTGGGACGTTGCGTTGTGAATTTAGGACTATAAAATACTGACTCACTGGTAGTATTGCGCATGCCTACGTTAGCATTATGAACGTTCAACCAATAAAACGGTAAGAGGCACTGGATTTTTAGGAGTCTAAACTTCATGTGACATTGGAAAAGTGTTTAAGACCAGCCAGCCATGTCTTTATCATCCGTTTAAGACCAGCCACGTGACGGGCTCTCGACCAATAGGAATGGCTAAACTGTCTTTATGCATCACTGTTATTACGGACAAGATTGCCTCAGGATACATGTACATGTATGTATACAGTTAAACACGTACAATGTATGCACATTGTTGTTAATGACATTCTGGGGCAAAAATTTAAACATTCTATTGCGGACTATCGGTAGTGAAAAGGCCCACAGACTAGTTAAGAGTCTGCTTCGCTAGTCTGGCTGGCTAAAAGAGTTCCAAATCCGGCCACCACTTCTTCGCCACTTAACACAACAATTTTCACACCATCTTATGATTTCATTGAAGACAAATCCACTAGGCTTGGGAAAACTGAAAACATCTCAGGACAAATAATTCTCAGGACAAATAAATGGGTTGGGACAAATAATTCAATGACATGTGATCAGCCACCCACCAATCAGATGATGGGGATTTATTAAGGTGTTTGTATAAAAGGAAATGAGGAAGTATTTACCTGGAATATTGGAACGCAAAGCCTCACAGCAATGGCTACCACGTCCTCTACGGTGACTGTCGTCCCCGGATCAACGCCCACGGTGACTGCCGAGCCGGTGCTGTGATACCTCGTTGAGCTGTCAACAGGCAGATCAGCCAAGCGTAAGGGTCCATAACCATTCTGGATGACGATCTGTAATCAAAACAAATCAAACCAGAATATCAGCTCATTGTCGAAGGAGTTAATAATTGCATATTTTAAGGAGTTAATCATTGCTTATTTTTGCGGAAAATTTTGATTTTCGCAAAAGGCAAAATTCTCCAGCCAACTTCTGATATACAGCCAAACGCCACAAATACTGATTCGCAAGAGTCATTTCAACAGTATTTGTACCATATTTCTTGCCAAAACCTCATGTTTCATACTCCGGGGTGTGCACTGGAGCGTAAATTGTACAACAATAGGCCGTGCACAACGGCCAATTCAAGATTAACACAAGGTCCACCTCTTTGTGTGTGTACAAAAGGCACGAGGGATTAGCGTGTTTAGACGTCACCCGGAGGCGAGTCAAGGCAATCTTGACGTCTTACATGTAACCCCTCAGCTGAGCCTGTGTATAAAAACAGCCAGTGCATGTTATCACGTCCTCCGACGCAAACTGGTTAATTAGACAGAATTAAAACCAAAATCCAGAAGCAATAATGTATTTGTAGTGTTGCAAGGAAACTTGAAATGTTTATTTATTCCAGTAATATTGGAAAACTGACATCTTTGGTCGGCTGAAAGGGGGTGGTTTATAGCCAGCAACGACTGCTTTGCAATCTACCCTCGACAAATAATTTGATAGATGACATTGCAAACACAGTAAAATCTGTCACAAGCCAATATGGCCCATCAGGCCGGCGTTTATCTCCAGTTTCAGTAGCATGAAACGACTGAGAATATTTCTACTCCCCCTGGATGGGATGCCAGTCCATTGCGGGCTACTCCCCAGCTAATGCCGGTACCCATTTATACTCCTGGGTGGAAGAAGGCAAGTGGGGGTAAAATGGCTTGCCCAAGGACACAATATATGGCCAGCAGCTGGATTTGAACCCCTGACCCTCTGATCACGAGTCAAGAACCCTAACCACTATGCCACACCTTCCCACTGCCAACCATGAAACAGAATTAAAAGTGAACCTAGTCATTTCTCTGTTATGATTGATCCAATGAAAACACAAAACATTTTCAAAACATTATTTTTGGCTGTTTACAAAACAAACAAACAAACAAATGTCCCTTTACGCACCTTGTGGTCCTGTTGTGAGACCTCATTCTGTATCTTCTGAAGGCACTTGAAGAGGAGCGGGTTGGCTCGGAAGTACTTGGTTTCAGACGAGATGAAATCTCGGATGAAGAAGTTGAGAGAGAGTTTCTTGTTGACGATGCGAGTCGAGTCAAACAGATAGCTTCCTAAAAAGACAACCAATACAATTTGCCTTTTCATTTGTGCTTGTATTTTTATTTTTCGAGATAAATCTCATTTTCTTCAAGTCATTTCTCTTTATCATTATATTTTTGTGAAGGATGCTGAGGGGTTTGAAGCTGGGAAAAGACAGTGTAAAAAATCACATTCTTGATATATATTTGAACCACGATATTAATACTTCCACAAAATGAGAGAAAGGCTCCAAACTTCACACAGTTGTGTGAACAATTCTACACAGCAGAAAAAGGGTTATTCTAACGATATCAATGCTGGTCTCAAGGAATTTTACAGCTTTGAAAATTTTGAGAATTCTGACAATTTTTAAGAAGTACAGAATGTACAGGCCAGATCATACTCAGTGCAAAAGCGAAGATTGACGCGAACGTAAATTTGTGACGCAAGCATTCAAGCTGCGAATTTGCAAAGTTGTACACATTTCAACTCCAGCTAATTTCCCTACGAATGTTTGGTGACGTCAAAATCGCTTTGCGTTTGCATTCGCGTGAAGTATGAACTAGGCCCAATTCACAGCACTGCTTAAAAGTTAGCAGAAAAGTTGTGATTCCTGTAGCAGAAATTCATGCTGCTACTTAAAAAGCACTATTTCATGGCGCGGATGTGCTAACGGTTGCGTCGCGCGATGAGATTTCTGTTGTTATGTCACTGAATTTAGGCAACTTTTTCCTCTGTGGTTAAGTGTGGTTTTGATGTGCTTACTGCTTAACGGTCTTTATGAATAGAAGGAGGCTCGGTAAGCACATAATCAGCTGTTAAGCAGTGCTATGAATTGGGCCCTGGCCTTTAAGAGGATAACATTTTTATCTCCATCCTGATAAATTCACTGTCTTTTTTTTTGGGGGGGGGTCATTTGTATGTATGTGTATGTAAAACATAACTTGTCAATTTGTCCAAAGTCATGCATTTGTATGAAATTACCTGTATCTTTGGTGTCGGAGAGATCGAGCACCGTGGAATCAAACTCGGCCTCATCGACTGACACAGAATCAAAATCTTCTCCTCCTGGGAAACTTATCAGCTCTGCAACAAAACAAAATTTGATAAACATGTAGGACTCGAAGGATAAAAACATCAGGCTAACAAGTCCCCCCCCCCCCCCCCACACACACACATTTTATAAAAGTGGGGGATATTTCGTTTGTCACCCCCACTTTTTTCGTCCCCGAATAAAAATTGTAGCCAGCATAATGATTCTATAGCTTAGAATAGCTGATTCAATGACTCCAAACTCAAAAATAATGTTTAAAAGATGATCTGTTGCTCACAAAAATTGGTTTACATGTAAGTGGTCAGAAATTGCCTAAAATCGCACCACAAAGCGTATAGAATACCAAAATTTTAGGGCTTCGTGATCGCATAAGTGCCGATCAAGGTATGTATGTTCCCTCCCCCACACTTTTGAGAAGCTATTGACGCCCTTGCCTGCAAGTCCTTGCAAGTCCATCACAAGTCCTTCAGTTTGAAGTCACGTCACCAGACGAACTGTCAACAAAGCATTCTTGTGTCATTTGTTCATCCAGTTACTTGTGACCGGCATGGCTTTGTGAAAGGACTTGTGAAAGGACTTGTGAAAGGACTTGTGATGGACTCGAATACATACATTGTTGTACACTGGATCTGTGTATTTTTTTGAGATTTTCACACTTTCTTGTGAATTATGAAAGTAGAGTTCAGTTATGTACATGTACCGGTAAGTAGTCTTTGGAAATGGAAAACTTGTTTCATATCTAGCAATCGAGCATTGTACTATCATCACGTTTGTACGCATTTTGTTTTGTTCTTTAACTGTGGGGACCACACGACTAATCTTTTGTGGGGACCAAAGACGCTGTGGGGACAGTAGAAAGTCCCCACAACTTGGTCCTAATTTCCCAACAAAAGACAACTTCCCCACAATGCGGTTCCGGCTACGACAAATACAAGTAGTTTCAGAACAGGTATATTAAACAAAAGCTGAACTTTAAAAATACAGTACATGTAGGTCTGAAGTTTTGAATTACATGTAAACAAGTCCACACGATGAATGACTTGGACAAAACAAAAATTGTCCACAAAATGTTGTGTACATGTAGCATAAAAGCTGTACCTTTGTTCAGCTTCAGAAGAGTTTTTTTGCACCTTCAGAAAACAGGTAAATGTACTTAAGTCACACTCAAATTTGACCTCAACTATTTCCCACAACTCTGGATATCCTGGGTGTAGGAAATGGCACAGTATGAAGGTTACACTTGTTCCAACGTACCGGTACACGACATACACTTACTATCAAGGATATGAAACTGAATTTTAATGAAGGACATGAACCATTTACATGCTACGAAAACAGAAACCTCGCCAACGAAAAGAAATTATGTTGTCCCAGTATTATAAAATATTGATTCTTAATATTTTCAAACTGATTAATTGATAAGGTTTTGGATTTTGTAAAAATGCAATGTAACCTTCAAGGAACAGTCATTATTTGTCAATTTATAAAAATATGTACCGTACATGTATGTATGTATGTTGGATAATTTTCTTTTGGTGAATTTTTTTTTCATTTCAAAGCAACAAAATTACTCAACATCTAAAGTAGTGTGCACAATTCTTGATTGAAGTAAGGCTTTTGTACATTCACTCAACAACAAAAACCACTTAAAGTAAAGGTAAATATTTTTTATTTCTTGCCAGGAAGTTTGTGTCGAATAAATGAAGGGTTTCCTTCTCACTGTGTTTCGTGCACCTCGACCAACTAGACATGGGGTGGCTTTTAACAAAAGAGTTCCGGTAGGCACCAACAATAAAATTTTGCGAACAAAACCCCACTGTTGGCATGTTGCCATGGTGAGGTGCTAACCCCGAAAAACTAAGCATTCAACTACGCACTGCGGAGGTTTCAATAGCACTCTACAACTGTGTTAGCATTTGCCCTTGTAAATTTGCAGATCCGGGTTCACGACGGACATCATTATGGAAAGGCTAATCAGTTCCTTTATTGATCAGGTCTTCATTATGGCACGACCTTGTGTATTTAACCTACATGTATTTCTTCAAGGGCTTTTGCACTGCCCATAACCTTGTTCAAAGGCATACGCACTGTCCATACTTCAGTCCATTGTCCATAAAGCCTGTTCCATGTTGCCCGCTGTGACAGGGTCTATGGTGTTTTGTACACCTGGGGGGCAAATGGCACCCAAAGTGAAGCCGGGGGTGCCATTCCCCCCCCCCCCCCCCCCCCCCCAGGGTGTACGAAACCCATGGACCTCATCACAGCAGGCAACAATTGTTTTCTGTACATGTGCCACGAAAATAGAGTACCAACGTCTGAAACAGTAACTAATCGCACATAATTTTCCGTATTTTTCAATCCTGTTCAAAAATCTCATTTCTGATCTCGTCTTTGGAACAAGAGAGAAACCTCTTCTTTGGAGGCGACCTGTTGTCATCTGCCGACATTATTATGGTGAAATTACAGCAAAAATTGGCACAATTAAAAAAAAGCAAATGAACAGTGACGGAGCAACTATAGAATGTAGGGCCTCGCGAGAATGGCTGTTTTTTTTAGTTGGATGTAATGTGAGGAGTGGGGTGGATCGAAATAACAAGAAGTAAATTGTAATAAGTAGAGAACACTATTTACAAATACCGAGACATTGGGCCGAATTCATAAAAACTAGTAATTGCTATTAAGCAGAGGCACCGAGCAAAAGCAAAAGTTCATCAAGCAGAAGCTGAAGCAAAAGCAATTGCTTAAAAACGTGTAAATAACCTTTTGCTTTGACTACCGTAATTGCTTTTTCTCAAGCTACAATGTAGCCCAGCAATTGCTTGCAGGTCCTTAATTAAGCGCTATTCATGTGCGATGAGGCATGCGTAAATGTGAAGCTTTTTTTTTATAGAAGCAGGTTTGCTTTTCCCACACAATTTCCAAAATTGGTGCACAGAGCGATGATCAAACTGCTGTCAAATGTGATCAACAAGTGAGTGCAGTTTTGGTCAAAATCATCCAAAAACACCCTGTGCTATAAGACAAATTTCAACTACCAAGTAGCAAGGAAAAGAAATAGAGGGCACTGTAGGATGCCAAAGCAACAATTGCTACAAACACCGGGAAAAACATGAATGACAAACAAATATTGAAGAAGGTTGCCAACATGAAAGCACAGGTCAAGAAGAAAACAGATCTTTGCAAATGAAACGGGTAAATCATATGATCAATCTGTGTTCCTGTCTTCGACGCACTGAAAGGGCAATAAAACCCTACCATAAACAAAATGGCTTCCGCATTTTCAGCGGGAGTTTGTTCCTCCAGTTGCGCTTCTGCCAATGCCCGCTGTAGGATTTGTATTTTTTTCTAAAGTTCTTCTTCTTTTTTACTGTAATTTTACATTCGTTAGAAATGATTTGATCAAGTACTGTTGCTTTTACCATTCTATCTTACTGAATATTAAAGTCCTACCCAACATTTGTAGCTTAATCTGTATTCCGCAGAAATAAAGAGCAGTTGCATCACTTTAAACATCAACTTTTTGTGTTCACTTAACACTACTTTAATCATGACAAATCTGTCCAAGATGAAACATGTACATTTAGACAAAGACATCTTGAACCATTCTCTTATATGCGATTTTGAATTTTCAACACCGTACGCGATCTACATTATATATACAGTTCTAAAGTACATTGTATGTTTAGGAAACAAAACTATTTAAATCATAAGGGGCATAAACATGACGAAATCTTCTCTGATGTCTGTATATCACTAACAAGCGAGAGGTCAAGCTACCATGTGGGGATCTTGTAACACTACAAGCAATTGCTGAATAACACAAGCAAAAGGTTGTTGCTATGTATACGTTTTTAGGCAATTGCTAATCCAGATGGCATTTGCTTGCAAGAAACAAGCTTTTGCTTTTGCTTAAAACTAGAAACTTTTGCTTGCTAGCAACTGCTTATTTTTAAGTATGAAGATGTAAGCAAAAGCCTAGAAAAGCAATTGCTAGTTTTTATGAATTCGGCCCATTGTCTGTCTTGGATGCGTGGATGCGCGGTCGGTCGGCATGAATGGTAAATACGTCTAAACATTGGTTGCATTAGCACATTACCCGAAGACTCAAAACTTAAAAACCCTAAATCCCTAGGCCTTTTTGCTAGGATGTAGCCTCAATCCTGCAAAATCCTCCAATTGGCCTCATGGAAAAATAGCATATAGCCTCAATCCTGCAAATTCCTCCATTGTTTCTTGAATATGGTCCATGGAGGGGTGACCACTGCCTGAATCCTGCAAAATCCTCCGGCTATGACTGTCAATAGGCTGAGGCAGAGGCAGTGACATCCTGGAGCAGTGCAGAGGATGTCAAGTATAATCAAGGACTAAATTTATGCACGGCTGAGCATAAGCAACACAAGGTCCGGCCCAAGACCTTGACACAGTCCGTACTCCGAAATCAGCAATGCACTTTGGCCTTAAAGGGAACAACATTGGCAAACATCAAATAACAAAACTACCAAATTATCAAGAAAAACCTTACTGGACTGTTAGTGAATGACAGTCTAAAGCATCCTGTAAAATCTTGACACCTGGTGTGCTGCCATTTACAAAAAAAGGGGTATTTTTTTATCGATTTCCAACGCTGGTTGGCCGACCAGCGTTGGAAAAAAACTGGCTTTTTTGAAATACTGCTCCCATTTTATCATATTTAGTTAGTTTGCATTTTCTTTGCAATCGATTACACACCTGTGAACGGGTACACGCCAGCTAGACTGATTCCCTGACAATACAATTACCTGACGTCTATAAATTGCTCTGTTTCAAGTTAAGTGGGGTCAGGGAACCAGACTACAAGAAAATGATAGTTATTCTTGATTTTCCAGCATGTACGAACCCAAAACGTCAAACAAGTCACTTTAACAATATTTTCTATAAAATAAACCCCCAAATCCATCAATTTCTGAAAATTACAGACATGTAAATCAAATGTTGTATTCCCTTTAAATGGTTTGTCAACTTTACTTACCCTAGGACCTCGGGACTTAAATTTACCCTGGGACTCAGTACTTTATTTCCCTATCTAAAACCAATCCCAGCCTATTCGCTCTCCCCCCCCCCCCCCCCCCCCCCCCGATGCCCCGATGGTGGACATGAAGTAAATTATAATCAATAGAGGGCGCTATTGACCTCCGACTGCGCATCCAAGCAGCCATGGATGCGCGGATATACATGTAGAATGGAGTGGCCCAGTTCTACCACAGTGACGGATGATGTAAACAACATGGCTGTCGTAGCAGAAACAGTGCGCGTGCATACATGCACTTTTGACCAAAACTGAATGTCGGGCAACAGCCGTACCAATGCACATTGTCAAAATTTGATGCAAGCTAGTGATGGCGCAATTATCACATCCCATGACGTCATGCAACACGACGCTTTCGTGAACAATGGCAGCAAAAGTTGTCCGAATTCAACTCGAAATTACAAGATTTAACTAGACCTCTGAAGGTGCAGAATTTCACGTTTTGTTGATATTAAGCAGTTGTAGGCGGCATTGTGTGAATATAAAGTGACAAAATAATTGAATATAAAGTGACAAAATAATTGCGATTTTCAAATTGCAACGGACTTTCCGTGCAAATACCACAAGTGGGATGTGTGACATTTAATACAGAGGTAGTTTATCCAGTATTACCGTCACATTTATGGGACTAGGATGTATTAAAAAGCTAGGAGTTGAAATACTTGAAACTCTCAGAAGAGAAAGAGCATGGGCATGATGGGAGAAAAAAAGAAATTCATTGCATTGACATGATTGAAGGTCATTCATTTCAAAAATTATGATAAAACATGAATCTGGGACTAAGAAATATTTCCAATTTTGTTAGTCCGAGTAACTTGGACCCAACTTATCGCCTTTTTAACATTTGGACATGGTCTGGCGATAGTAAGGTCCAAGCTAATACCGAGACCTAGACAACACAGTCCCAAAAACCAACATTTTCCAACAAAAAACATCAGATTTCACCTTCAAAACGGCCTCCAAATTACTAGATATGCCACCTGAGGTACAAGTAGACATCGATAATTAAGATGGTTGTACTGAAGTTTACTTACGATCCGGAAAAAAGTGAAATTTTCCGTTCAATTCTGAAGACCCCCTCTGCCTAGGTTGTCGTTGTTGTGCTCACGTTCAAAACTGCATGATAATGGCGTCTGACCTCGACCTCATGCAAATGTCTGGACGGCGCGCTTGCGCTTAATGCACTTCATGCACGGCAGATTCCCCTGCGCCGCGTGCTGTGTAAGTTCGCGGTACGCCTAGGAGTCACGCTGGCTAGCCAGGCGCATGGCTGGCGCTCTACATCAGGAAACAGTCGTCGGCGCGGCGCAGGGGAATCTGCCGTGCATGCAGTGCATTATGCGCAAGCGCGCCGTCCCGACATTTGCATGAGGTCGAGGTCAGACGCCATTATCATGCAGTTTTGAACGTGAGCACAACAACGACAACCTAGGCAGAGGGGGTCTTCAGAATTGAACGGAAAATTTCACTTTTTTCCGGATCGTAAGTAAACTTAAGTACAACCATCTTAATCATCTACATGTATGTCTACTTGTACCTCAGGTGACATATCTAGTAATTTGGAGGCCGTTTTGAAGGTGAAATCTGATGTTTTTTGTTGGAAAATGTTGGTTTTTGGGACTGTGTTGTCTAGGTCTCGGTATTAGCTTGGACCTTACTATCGCCAGACCATGTCCAAATGTTAAAAAAGGCGATAAGTTGGGTCCAAGTTACTCGGACTACAATTTTGTTAGGAAATACTTCAAAATGTTCTGGACTCTCAGCTCCATAGCTGGAGTTACCCAGCCCTAGCCCCACTAGTGTGGCCGCGGTATGCTGCGCTGAACCTCTTGGGTTCAGCGCAGCATACCGACGGCCACACTAGTGGGGCTAACCTAGCCCGACTGCGTCTGGCCGTACAGTACTATCGCAAGCTCTGTAGTACGGCCAGACGCTGAATGCTTCCAAAAACGCTGAATTTTTTTGGCCGCTGATGTAGCGATTTTGCTACATCTTTCGATCGCGATTATCTTTTCATCCAGGACACAAATTTCCAAAGTTAAGGTTCGTAGTCGTAGAGCAACTCATACCTTTTCGAAAAAACGTTCTTTGGTCTCAATAGTTTCATCCATCTGGCCACAAGACGAATTTCAGTCATCAGATTCCACAAATATCGTCCCCCATGCGATCCCCCATGCGATTTCAAAATGGCGGCCGCGCTGTAATGTATGCATTATGCAGGCGCGCCCGCGCAAATCATGAATATGCATAAACAGTCTGTGACGTATGACCTCGTGTTTTTGGACGTGCGTGCGGCGGGGCCGTACGTCCAAAAACACGAGGTCATACGTCACAGACTGTTATGCATATTCATGAGTTTGCGCGGGCGCGCCTGCATATTGCATACATTACAGCGCGGCCGCCATTTTGAAATCGCATGGGGGATCGCATGGGGGACGATATTTGTGGAATCTGATGACTGAAATTCGTCTTGTGGCCAGATGGATAAAAATATTGAGACCAAAGAACGTTTTTTCGAAAAGGTATGAGTTGCTCTACGACTAAGAACCTTAACTTTGGAAATCTGTGTCCTGGATGAAAAGATAATCGCGATCGAAAGATGTAGCAAAATCGCTACATCAGCGGCCAAAAAAATTCAGTCTTTTTGGAAGCATTCAGCGTCTGGCCGTACTACAGAGCTTGCGATAGTACTGTACGGCCAGACGCAGTCGGGCTAGGGCTAACCCAGCCCTAAATTTTATCATTGGGTTGTAAATGACAACCCAATGATAAAATTTAGGGCTGGGTAACTCCAGCTAGACTCTCCACAGACTTTGTACACAATCGCGGAAGTGGCGTCAGATTACAACATTTTGTCCTCTGTATACGGGATGCACATGAAGTTAGGCCACCAAACAAAGTACAAGTTGCAAGAGCAACTTAGCCATAGAACTACACAGTGAGTCGTGTAGGCCCTATAGTTCGTTTGGACTTTAACTAGAGAAAGGAACTTACCGGCATGACTGCAACCAAAGATCATCGCTGTTAGTGGCACTAAAGCCAGAAATATCTGGCTCTTTACAGCCACCATTTCGTCCCTCGTTGTTATGAATGCTTGGTGATCATAAACGCCGACAAGGCAGGGGGGGAAACAAGCAAAATGCGAGCCACTAATATAAACAAGCGGAAAAGTTCTCTCTCGGAAAATCCTGTGTATCTTCCGGGTGTAGTGCACACTTGAAACCCCTCTAAACTGACCCTCTACGCAAGGCTCTCATCAGTGCGCAGGATACAGCACACGCGGCGCGTCCGGACTGTGTACACATCTAAATTACATATGACACCGAATTTAATCAAGCAGTTGACGACTGTTTAGGGGGATTCCTGTTTAGCTAGTTTACGTTGGCTGTTTGTTGATTGGTTGTCGTGTTCCCTAACGTGGCGCACTTCGAAGCTTACCCAACTTTCCTCGTGTAGTGTTGCCAAACTTCTTTGTTAAAAACCTCAAATTCATGCAGTAAAATACTACTAGTACTTTTACCTTATTAATGCTTGCTCCGTTTCATAAATTTAATCCGAAATTCAAAAATGGTGGCGTCCGGAAATTGGGCACAAATTGGCGGAGTCGAGTGTTCCCTAACGTGGCGCACTTGAATAAATCTCGGAAAATTCCAAATTAACATTTAAGAATTTCTGTAAACTTGATACATTCTGATAAATAATTATTATCTCTAATTACACACCCAGCCAGATGCTTGTCAGAAAATGATTTTCTTATTTTTCGGGGCATTTTCAAAGGGTTCACTTTGCACTTGAAAATAAAATCGGAAAATCACGCCAAAATAAATGTATCTTCTAACTTTGTTACGGACGGGTAAATAAACTCGCGATTTATGAACAGGAGTGTTTAGAACTTGATGAAATTTCACTTTCTGTGAAATTTCAGTTAAAACTTTTGCTCTAGGTAGGCGCTACAGGCGAAAAATCAAAGTGCACCACGTTGGGGGCCGCGCCACGTTAGGGTACATCAACAATATGTGTACGTTTTGAGAAAAAAACATTCTCGAGAAATAATTTTCCACCAAAAAATTGGAGAAAACTTGACAGTAACAAACGGTGCTCGGTGACCAGCCGCCTGATCATCCAAAAAGGTTGCAAATTTTCAAAGAAATTCCTAAATACTAGCCATCTTGTTATTACAAAATACGGTCGGTTTTTGGTTATACATGTATATATTACGGGTCAAAAATTACATTACCCTAGCCTAGCCACAGGACGAAACATTAAATTTCAGGTTGATATTTATTACGGGTCGATTTTTTTAATTACATTTTCAGGTCGATATTACAGAATGGGTCGATTTGTAATAGGGGAATTAACGTGTGCTTAGCCGGTTTTAAACACTATATGTTTTGTTGGACCGGTTGAGAAACGGCGCGCTGAATAAAACTTAGTGGTCTCGCACCGCCAAGACATATACATCCGCACGCCGTAGAATATGTTAAGTTTCGTTCAATAGAGGGCGCGCCACATAAATAGTGGTCTCAACCATTGATCTCCATATGTATATGGAGATCAATGGTCTCAACCCACAAAGCATCAACACGGACGCTGTACTTTTGTTAAACGTAGACGATAATTCGATAATACATCTTGTATTTCTTGAGTTGCTGCCCCCAAAACGAGTTTGGTGGTGGATATCGAGAACTCTATTGAAAGATTATTCAAAACACTCTTCCTTTTCAAAGTGATTTTTTTTTAGTTCACTTTTTTTTCTTCTAAATATGGCAATTACAAACTCTTTCAATTTTCGGCCAAAAATGTGTTACTCCTCGTGCGTATCAACAACTCTGGTATTTAATTACAGTATCATTAACAACAAAACTAGCTAATGAAACATACTGCATCTCAAGTGTTCCTCAAATGTAGACCAAAATCGGGAAACAATTTTCATTTAAACGTATGACCGTTGGACTTTTGTTCAACAACAACGAACAGATTATTTTTTTTCTGATTAAATACAAACGACATGAGAATACTACACGAAGAACCACATGCGTCTTGCAGTTTGTTTTTTAATGTTTAAGTACAGTTCAAGCTGTACAACAAAAACAGAAATGAAAAAAAAAAGACTTTATTACACAATTATGCAACTTTGGTCAATAATATCCAACTCAGGAACTCAAGTCTGGGTTCTAAACATGGCGCACCGGAGCCGCCTGGGACAGAATCCTAGACAGAGAAGATAATATTATCCAACTCTTATTACATGACCCAATACAGCAACCTGGGATATTATCCTAGTCCAGGCAGTACTGAGCATATTGGGATAATATTATCCAAGTCTACATTAAATGGCACAATGGAGCAACCCGAGATACTATTATCCAAGTCTACATTAAATTAAATGGCACAATGGAGCAACCTAGGATATCATTATCCAAGTCTAGGCAGTACAACACATGGGAGCAACATGGGATACTATTATCCCGGTTGCAGCCCTTGACCAATGCTTCACCTTTGGATAATCTTGTCCTGGTTTCAGCCCTAGGGAAAAAAAATTTCATTGCAGATAATATTATCCAGGTTGCAGCCCTGGACGAAAGTTTCATTGTGAGATAATATTATCCTGGTTGTAGCCGTGGACGAAATCTTCATTGTGGGATAATATTATCCCGGTTGAGACCTCGACAGAAGCTTCATTGTTGGATAATATTATCCCAGATGCAGCCCTAGACGGAAACTTCATTGTGGGATAATATTATCCCGGTTGCAGCCCTCAACAGAATCTTCATTGTGGGATAATATTATCCCAGATGCAGCCCCCGACAGAATCTGGATTGTGAGATAATATTATCCTGGTTGTAGCCGTCGACGAAATCTTCATTGTGGGATAATATTATCCCGGTTGCAGCCCTCAACAGAATCTTTATATTATCCCAGATGCAGCCCCCGACAGAATCTGCATTGTGAGATTATATTATCCTGGTTGCAGCCCATGGCGAAAGTTTCATTGTGGGATAATATTATCTTGGTAACAGCCCTCGACAGAATCTTCAGTATGGGATAATATTATCCCGATTGCAGCACTCGACGGAATCTTCATTGTTGGATAAAAGTATCCCGGTTGCAGCCATGACGGAAGCTTCAATGTGGGGTAACAATATCCCAGTCATACAACCCTCGATAGAAAAGTCATTGTGGGATGATGATATCCCGGTTTATTATATACAGCTCTTAACTGAAGTTTCCCTGTTGAATAACAAAATATTATCCCGGTTATAGCCCTTATATGGTATATATATTGTGTTTATAGCCTGGCATAGAAAGATGGGTTGTCAGCTACGCATCCTTCACAAATGGGTTAAATGACCGTGCTGACTTGGTCAGTGACCTCACGCCAGGAAATATAACCCATGAACGATCCCTGACCAAATAATTCTGGAAACGAAAAGCCAGTTCTTTATGAAAACAAATCGGATGCTTCGAAACGGGGCCGTAAAATAGCAATGGTATATCTATACCAGGTGATATGTTGCTGTTTCTTGAAAAAATGGAAAGTTCACTTTGTTCACTTTGAAAAGAAAGAGTGTTTCAAGTAGTCATTGGTGCTAGACCAGTAGGGGTGCACCCAATCAAATAAATTCCCACAGACAACAGTGATAAAAAGCCCATGCTTCAAAATTCTTATAAATAATATTCAAAACTCTCACGGGTGTTCAGGCTGCAAAGAAAAATGATGAGCAGCATGTCATCTTTCGTTTTCCTTTCAATTTTTGGCGGGTTGACATATGACTTTTTCAAAACATTCAAACCCAAAAAAGACGACCCCCAAAACAAGTGATTCTTCCCAGCCCAAAGTGTAAAGGTAGCCATTTTGAAAACGGATCTATCCACAACATGGCTAAATAGCGCCAATTTCGGGCCCGATTGCATCCCACATGCTCTGAATTGGAAGCCCCAAGTCTGGGCCAGAGGTGTATTGACATATCTCTTCAATCTCTAAATTCCATGGCACTCAGAACTCTCTAATAATATAGAAGAATTTGAGTGTATAACTTTTATTCATGAGTTCGGCGGACGGAATGTTGGCCAATTAACACGGGTGCCCTCCTAGGGTTTCAGACCTGCAAATCGACTCCCTTTCCTCCACATTTTTGTTTAAATACTTACCACTCTAGATTTCCAAGGCGTTTACCAATTTTAATTTTAACACATCTAGTATTTCTTGAGTTGTTGCCCCTAACGAATTTGTTCTGTATTGCAAAATTAAAATTTCGTAAAGTGCTTTCTCATGATGACTGTGTGTGGAATTAAATTTTATGGGAAACCGTCAAACAATAACAAATAATATCACCGAAACACATACAGTATTTTAAACGCGGAAAATACAAACCGAATGCAAAGAAAGTCACCACCCATGGACACATTTTATAACACACTCGTTGTTTGGGCAATAACCCGAGCCAACCAGGCCCAGCGGTATTAAGTTGTAAAGTTCGGTCAGTGATTGGTCTTGATGTTTAACATAAGGAGATTCAATTTCGTGAGAAACCGTCAAACAACAACTGAAAGTTTCTTTCGAGAAAGGGTGCGCTAAATAAAACTAGTGCGCACGTGCCTACTTAAGTTTCGTTCAATAGAGGACGTGCCACATAAAAAGTGGTCTCCACAAAGCATCAACGCGGATGCTGCACTATTGAACCAAAAAGAACAACTCGTTTTACACGCGAAAATCCACGTTGACTTGAATTCATTCCGATTGAATTTGTCGCGCTTAAAACACTGTATTGTTACGGTCATAATAGCTTCATTGTTTGACGGTTTCTTAAGAAATTAAATCGTGTAATGTTAATCATAATGACAAATCAGTAGACGAAAATTCCATTTAATACATCTTGTATTTCTGGAGTTGTTGCCCCCCAACCCGAGTTTGGTGGTGGATATTGAGACCACTATTTATGTGGCGCGCCCTCTATTGAAAGAATATTAAAGTAGGCATTGGTGCGAGACCACTGGTGCACCCAATCAAATCAATTTCCATAGACAACCGTGATAAATGCCCATTCTTCAAAATTCTTTTAACAAAAATACTCAAAACTCTCACAGGTGTTCAGGCTGCACAGAAAAATGTTGAACCACATGTCATCTTTCATTTTCTTTTCAATTTTTGGTGGGTTGACCGATGAGGATTTTCGAGAAATTTTCACCCAAAGAAGACAACCCCTTAAACGAGTGATGCTTCCCAAAGTGGA